TTTATGTACCCCATGCCACAGCAACAAAGACTCTTAGCACAAACTTGCTGGTCAAGAATGTCCTCCATTAGAACTCTCTTGAATACTAGCAGGCTAGGGGCAACTAGATCTTCAGCTCAAATCTGTTTTCAATGAACCAGTGTTCAGCCACTGATCCATTATCATGACTAAGCTGACTGTCAGGGCACTTGGGGGGCAGGGATTGAGTGCTCTGGTCCATGAACATTAGGAGGCTGTGGCAGACCACCTGGTGGACTTCCATGAGCCACATTTTGAGAATTATTTCATTAAGGTAAAAGTAAAGTCTCCTTTTGTTGAATTCAGTTCCTGGTCACTGCATGGATGTGTCCGTATAGTTTTCTTGACAATAGTTCAGAAGTGGTTTGCCATTGTTGCCTTCTGGAATGTTTTTTAGATTTCTCAGTCTAGTTTATTTTCTTGGGACTTGCTGGTGGTCTCTTTTCCAAGTGCTAATCAGGTCCACCTTTTTCAAGATCAGCCAAAGTGGCTTGGTACTGCCACCAGCTGTGACTTACACTTCACTGGAACTTAACAAACAAAGTGGTACCTCTAATTACGAACGCCCCAACTTCCGAAATTTTCGAGATAAGACCAGTCCTGGCCCCAAAATTTTCCCTCTACTTACAAACTCGCCTCGACTTACGAGCCATTTTCCGCCCGTGCCACGTGGTCCGCGGCCATTTTTCCGTCCTGACACGTGGTCTGCGGCCATTTTTCTGCCCCTGACACATGGTCTGCGGGCATTTTTCTGCCCCTGACGCGCGGCGCGCAGGCATTTTGTTGCCCCGCCGCGCAGTGCGCGGGCGCTTTTCCGCCCCTGATGCACGGCACGCAGGCACTTTTTCGCCCCTGACGCGTGGCGCGCGGGCGTTTTGCCGCAGCGCGCGGGCGCTTTTCTGCCCCTGATGCGCAGTGCGCAGGCGTGTTGCCACCCCGCCGCGCAACGCGCGGGTACTTTTCCGCCTCTGACGCGTGGTCCGCAGATGCCAGAACGGATTAACGGTAATTACATTGAACCTTATGGGAAAATTTACCTCGACATGCGACCAACTCAACTTACGATCAGAGTTACGGAACGGATTAAGTTCATAAGTAGAGGTACCACTGTAAAAGCAAGAACACTGATGATTGAAA